TCCCCCCAACATCCTTTTTTCCTGGAATACAGCAATAGCCTACTCGACTTTTGCAGTACAATTATTTGCAACGCCCTTGACAAGGTCCAAAATACTGCCCTTCGTTTCATTAACGGTGGCTTGAGGTCCACGCCTAATGCCGCATGGGAAAAACCTTCAAATGCAGAACCCTTATATGAATTTGCAGGCACAGCCAAAGCCGGATATGGAATTCAAATACAATACCAAGATGGAAGTTCCAATTAGATCTCTGCAGGCTGTGGAGAGAAATGCAACTACGATGCAAATATGATGACAATGGAAACACCACAGTTTTTGATACTCATACGAACAAAACACACAGAGTACAGGCATTGTGATTTTCATTGATTCACTATCAGCCTTGCAAGTGATAGAAAATAACTACCTTGTAGATCTGTCATCTAAACCAAGATTTGATAAATAATAATATACTGTTTGGCTCCCTTCATCTGAGAGCATCCGGTGGCATCAAACTGATGATGCAGTGGGTCCCCGGATACTAAAATAAAACAAAGCTGGAAATGACAGAACAGACACATTTGATAAAAGTAAATGGGGATCTAGACACGAAAACCCAACATTCCAGCTTCATACAATGTGCAAAACAAATCAATAAAAGCAACAGTAAACAAGGTTGGATGAAAAGATGGGCCTTGGAAAAGACAGGCAGTGCAGTTTTCAAGCATATGACCGCAATAAAATGAATTAATAATATCAACCACCTACAGAGAAAGAAACAGACCACGATCTTCCGCCTACGAACTTATTTATAAAGCTCAACTTCCGCTTGAACAGAATAAAACCAGTCCTTTGCGTGACTGACTGTGGATCATCACCTGTTCCACTGCTTAGCCCTAGGCTAACTGCAGAGCTACACTTCTCCCTCTGAGACCTAACATTGACAACGCACTCTATGAAACATTACAGCAACGGCAGAAAACCTGCACTTAATACAACATTGTACTTGGCATTGGTTAGAAAAGCAAGGGCCCAGCTGTTGCTGGATCAATAACAACTACAACAGCAACAGCATTAACCCCCCAAAACACATGCACGCACACACACACACGCACACACACACA